TGGAATGGGAATGGGGATGGGGATGGGGATGGGGCGGGGATGGGATGGGAATGGTTGGGAATGGATTGGGAATGGGACAGGAATGGATCAGCAATGGGTTGGGAATGGATCTGGAATGGATCAGAAATTCCAGGAATGGATCTAGAATGCACTGGGAGTGGATCGGGAATGGAACAGGAATGGGGTTGGAATGAGGACTGGAATGGATAAGGAATGGATCCTGGAATGGATCTGGAATGGGTCCGCAATGGATCAGGAACTGGTAAGGAATGGATCTGGGAATGCATTGAGCCTATGTCGGGAATGGATCGGGAATGGGTCGGGAATGGGTCAGGAATGTCGGGAATGGATCAAGAATTCCGGGAATTCCAGGAACACCTCACCCCAGGGGCAGGGTGCGCATGTGGCGCTGGATGCCCACGGTGGGGTTGGGAATGGGTCAGGATGGGGTTGGGATGGGGTCGGGAATGGATCAGGAATTCCGGGAATGCCTCACCCCAGGTGCAGGGTGCGCACGTGGCGCCGGATGCCCACGGTGGAGCGCAGCTCTTTGCCACAGCCGGGCCACAGACACTTGAACAGCACACGGGGAGAGCTCTGCGGGGACACGGCCACTGTCACCCGGTGTCACCCACCCTGGGGTCACCCCTTGAACAGAAACCTTGGGAGAGCTCTGTGGGGACACGGCCACTGTCACCCACTGTCACCCACCCCAGGGTCACCCATCATTCCCCATCATTCCCACACCATTCCCCCATTCCCAAATCCACCATTTCCCCATTATTCCATTATTCCCTTCCCCACTCCCCAATTCCGAAATGCACCCATTCCCCCAACATTCCCCCATCATTCCTCATCATTCCTCCATTATTCCCAAATTCCCCCTTTTTTACCCCATCACTCCCATAATTTCCCCATCATTCCCCCATTTTTCCCTCATTATTCCCCCATCATTCCCCTACTCCCAAATTCTTTCATTATTCCCAAATTCCCCCATTCCCCATCATCCCCCGTCATTTCCCCATTCCCCCATTATTCCCAAAATCTGAAATACCCCCATCATTCCCAAATTCCCCCATTTTTCCCCCATTATTCCCCTATCATCCCCCCATTATTCCCCTATCATCCCCCCATTATTCCCCTATCATCCCCCCAATTAATTCCCCCATCATTCCCAAATTCCCCCAAATTCCCTCA